CCCCAAAGTAATGTCAGTGTAATCTGTCTTTTGTCACAAATGGTAGGGAGGTAAACCAGCTCCAACTGGAAAGATGAAAACAGGCTGGTGTGTTTTGTTTCCTTCTGGTTGTGTTGCTTTCAAGCTCCCCTGTTTTAACACAATACTGTAGTGCTATCACACACCCACACGTGACCCAGGGACACCTTCGTTTATCTAGCCTCAGTGCAGACATACCCTCACAGACTGGCACAGGCTCTTTGTATCAGCCTCTTATTTGAGCTAAACCAGTTGCTAGACAAGCTGTGTAAGGCACCATGTCAGAGGTGTTATTGAGCTGCTGTTTGGTCTTGCCCACATGGACTGGACCTAAACATGAGGGCTGTGGCTTGCTTTGATCAACCTTGTGGTTATAACCCTGGTTGGTCAGGTCTTGCTTTATATGGATTAATTTTCACCCAGGTCTTGTACAGGGAAGTTCTTGCTTGTATAGTTGAGTCCCATAAACTAGAAGCTGTAACTTCTAGTTTATGGTCATGTAAAGTTGCTTATAGCAAGATTAGACCCTTTTATGGCTGGTATGGAAGTACCAGAGCAGATCCTGAGCCTATGATATAGGACTGTGATATGGGGCTCTGGCACTCACCTCTTGGGGTAGGTACTTCAGTCTGTCACACACCCTGAGGTATAGTAGACTGCACAGGAGACTAGTGAATTCACTCACAAGCACCAGTATTCATGATCTGATTCAATGGTTGTGTGTGCCCAGGGCACTGTATATTCTGTCCCATCTTAGTCCCTTTCCTTTGGAAAACTGAGAGGCAGCCTCTTCCAGAAGCTGCCGGTGTGCCTATCTGTGTGATCTTTGCACTTTGCCGCAGATCTGGCCTTTACCCTGAGCCTGGGAGCAGCATTTGAGCTGTTTACTGTTTAGCTGAACCATTTTGCCAGCCAGCGTCAGAGCCGAGTTCACAGTTTTGGCTGGCTGAGCTATGTTGAAAATGGGTTTAAATGTGCTTCCCACTCTTGCCCGGTATCAGCAGGTCCCCCAAGGTGCCAAGTGTGGAGGTTAGAAGGCATTTCATATATTACAGGAAAGGGTCTGAGAGTCGGCACAACACAAATGCCCAGAGGTGCAGCTACAGCAAAAAAATAATATTCCAATATTCCTGAAAAGGCAGAAAAGCCACACACTTCAACCTTGGCTAGAACGTGGCTCTAGCAGGGTTAGACCACACCATCGTGTGGCTCCGTTTCCCTGAAGAGTGAAGTGTTTCTCCATTTTTAAGCATGCCTTCTGGTAGGTAGTTGCACAGAAGCTTCCAACACAGCCCTGTTTGTCTTTGGGTTGACCTCCTGTTTTGGTTGGAATGGACATAACTGTCCGTGGTGCTCAAATCTCTCCTGATCAACCCCAAATGCTAGGGGGTGGAGGAATTCCACACAGCCTCAGTCCTGATGTTTCTGGAGACTCAATACAGTACTTGTAGCCTTCAGTAATGCCTACAAATGCTTGAAAGCCAACATAAATTAGCCAGTCACAAGGATGTCCCTCTTTAATTAGGGCTCTTCTGGTGCCTATACAGACAGATGCAGCAAGGCTGCTCCGACACTGTAATTACGGCACTTTGGAGCAGACTCAATTAATCGAGTCTGCTGGAGCATGGTAATTACCACACTCCAGCATCGTGTGTATCAGCATCCCTGTGCTGAAGAATGGTGGCTCATTTGAGCTTTTAGTTAAAGCACCCCCACTGCCACTTCTCAGCACAGGGACACTGATACACGTGATGCTCCAGGTGCTTTAGAGCAGCTCTGAGAACTGCTCTAATTAAAGCCCCCCTTCCTTTCTGCCTGGAGCATGTGTATAAATGCCTTTCTGGTTTTTAGGAAAATGTGCTGTTTGCATGCAAAGAGACGATGGCTTTCCCCAAGGAGGATGGCACATAATAACATGCCCCATATAACCTCCTGTCTCTTGATTAGAGTCTTGAGGAAACGTTTGATCTACCTGTGAAGATGGCAAGTGTTCAGGTCCCTTGCCAAATTTCTTGCCTTCTATGCGAAGACCAGCCTTCCCACTCTGTAAAACCAAGCTTTGTGTTCCACTCTGAGTTGCACTTACCACTGATTTGAGTTCAGACAATGAGAAGTGACTTTCTGAAATGTTCCAGAGAACTCTCATCTGTGGAAGAAACTAGGTACCTACCTATGTGTTGCCTGACCAATGCAGAACTGTAGGAAGAAGCCAATATCCTTAAGATGCTTTTCTTTACTGGCTGAATAGTGGTTTTGTTCATCCTATGTCTTTGTTTTTGTTTTCTCTGCCCCCCTTCTTGATGCCAATTTAAAGGGCCTTTTTTCTTTTCTTTTGGCAGTGTTAGGCCTTATTTTTTCACTTTTGGCAATTCAAGAAATCTAGTAGGGGTGAAAGGAAGATAACTGGTCGGATTCCAAACTTAAATCCCTAATCAAAGTAGGGTACTGATAGGCTGTGTTTTGCACTAACTGATCATAATAGCTCGCAGGGGCTATGAGTGAGAACTTTTCCCAGTGCACTGTATATGGCTAAGTTTCTTCCAGCAAATCCTAACATACATAGAGCATGGGCTATAACATTTTATTCTCTGTAGTTCAGTTCCAGTTCAGCCAGGCAGTAATCTTGCCATTGTGTGCCTCCAACAATGCTTGTGAGAACTTTACTGATCTTACTGCATCAAGTAACGTGTTCACCCAATTAAGAATGTCTTATATGGCATGGTTTTTTATAGTTGTTTCTTAATCCTCTGTTGTCTTTGATTGCAGTGCTGTAGTTTGAAGTGTAATTTGCTCAATTTGAGCTGTTTGGCCTAAATTATCTCTCAAAGGAAAGAGATTTTTGTCGATGAAGGTGATATTTGAACCTATTTTTATGCAATGCCTGTATCTGGCTCTCTGTTTCCCTTAAATTATATTCGTGCTGCTTAAAAATCCAACAGTAGTCTTTGAGTCTTTTAAGGTGAAATCCTAAGTATAAAACCCCTGTGCTTCTGTTGCATAAGCAAGGAGAATCCAGATATTGTACCCTGTTTTCTGCTCCATCTGAAAGACTTAATTTCATACTTGACACGAGGTCTTGAGGAGGATGAGCAGGCTTCTTGTGACTTAAGGTTTGCTCTAAGTGGTTCTTTCTGCGCTTTGCCCGTGCAGATTTACTGCGCAGCTCAAATGAGAGAGAAGTCCTGAACAAGGAAGCCATAGCTGCTGCAACTGGATCTGAGGTTAAAAAGGAGCTGGGGGGGAATAGGAGGGAGGAGAGCTTTGTTTTGTTCTTCTTAAGGGAGGGGAAAAAGAACAATACAAACTAGTAGGGGATTTAATTTTGTCTAAAGGGTGAGGTATGTAGCCTACTTCTGTTCTTTCAATGCTCTTGATTGGCATCTTGGATTTGTACCATTGCCTGCTTAGACTGTGGGTTTTCAGGTGCTCTTGTTCCCAGTTGGAACCTGTACCAGATCCAAGCATGGAAGCTACTGGGAATACCTTAACTTAACTTGATATACAGGCCATTTTCAGAGGGTGGCAGAAAATTTGGAAGCAGAGTCTGCCTATTTTGTTCGCTCTTCATAATCCCTTTTATGTCAGTCTGTTTAGTATGGATAGCTGTGCATAGGCCTAGGCATGCCATAGTAACTAGCCTTGTTTTGTAATTCAATGCATCCCATTTGTTTATAAGCTTGGCAGACTGTATCGTTGTCCCATACTGCATTGGTACAGAGCTTGCTATCGGCTCTCTATTTATAACTAACTTCTGGGTGGAAACAATCAGACTAGTATCTCCTGTCTTACAGGGACTTTCAAGAACTTTTGGTGGGTTCTTTTGGTTTCTCTGGCACAGAGGGGAGAGGAGGAAATCTTCAGCTTTGGGGAGTTTCTTTGGTACTTTGTGGCTGTCTTGGTTGGTGTCCTGTAACTTGGCATTTGGATCATGAAGGCGAATCTGTCTGGAAGATGAAGGTCACTGGAAGGAACTTCAGGAGAACGCCCACTGCTGTGAATCCAAGGTCTAATTCTGCCTAAGCTATGACAAGGGGAGAAAACGATGTGTTAGACTAGTTTCTTTGCTCCCCTGTTTTATTTCTGCATGCTGACAGTCTAAATTACTGGTCTTGTGCTGCTTGTCACCTTGGGGTCAAGTAAAAATTTTCTTGCAGCATCCGCGTGCAAGCACTAACCGATCCAAATGCCAGACGGTGAGGTAGCTTACTGTACTTAAATGCACTTGTAAGGGGTTGCAAACCAAAGTAACTTCTGTAAGCTAGTCCTCTATTTAGCCGTGTAAGCTGCAGTCATGGGAAATGGCATTTTTGCCAATTGCTGTCGGCATGTCACTGATTTAATCGTCCAGACATGCGGCTTTCGTTCGACCGATGAAAGATCACCCCTCCTAGCAAAATCTCCTGCTGGCTGCACTGCTCCCCCGGATGTCTCAAAACCTTACGAGTATGCCAGGCTGTACCCGGACGTTATTCTCAGCAACGCATCAAATGAACAGCTGCAGAAACGGGCAGAATACGTGCACGACTCACCCAAGGAGTGCAGGGAAGAAGTGGCAAGGGCCTGTGTCAACAGCTGCCTGGAGTTCAGGGCTGCTACTGCAGGCCTCCTGCAGCAGGCACAGGCATCTTGTGCTCTGGCCGTCCTTCCTGTTGACCTTGAGAGAGAGTCAGAGACGCTGTTAAACCATGCTCGGCTGCTTGAGGCCTGCCAGGGTTGTGTGAAACTTGAGGACGGTGGCCTGGACTGTAAAACCCGCAACCAGGAAGAGCATGTGGTACCAGCTGACAAAACAGATGCAAGCCCTGGAATGCCGGTGGTTTGGCAGCAAAACCAAGACTTCTTTAAGAGGGAAGAAGCCTTGAATTTCAAACCCTTAGACAAGTCAGGTGTCCCATTAGACTGCAGAGCTGCCGGCCCTTACTTGGGAAGCTGTGATACAAGTGGATCCTCTGAATGTAACGCGTCGGGAAAGATGGAGGAAGTCCAGAAGGCCCAACAAGCAGTCTTGTCACCTCTCCTTCAGGATGACAGTGCACACCTGACCCAAGTCACTAGCACTTGTTACTTATCAACTGACCCAGCAGTGTGCCCAGCTGGAGAGTTAAGCTGCAGTCTGTACAGCGAAGGGAGTATACTGCCATCGAAGCAGAAGAAGCGGAAGAGGAAAAAGAAGTTTCCTTTCTTAGGTGCTCATGGGGCGATGGTTTATTCCACCGAGTACAGCTTGCTTATCTTGTGTCCTTGATGAGGGAGAGGATGATGTGTGCATGCTGGAAAGAACCAGGTTTTCCTAACGCGGTGTTTCTGTGCACTTGGCTGGCTTCAAAACTTTCCCTTTTGGGCTGAAATTACCCTGTGTTTACCCTACACCAGTATGTGACTTGTGAAAGTTTGTCCAACAGGTTTTCTTGTCTATAAAAAAAAAAAAACAAAAAAAACAAAACAAAACAAAAAACACAAACTTGTTTTTTATACAGAGCTCAGTTTGTGAAATGTAAAACATCAGAAGTGACTAGAGCCTAGTGAGGAGTAATGGCTTTCTTGATTTCTTTTTCTTTTTTTAAAGGAGGCTTTATTTAAGCACAGTGAGGTGTTCTTTTTTTTCCCTAAGCACATCAGAACAGAAATGCACAAAAATTTGCAAAGCTATAGTAAAGTATAAGAGATTTGAGAAGATACCAGAGTTTAAAATCCTTAAGTAACAACTAGGGGCTTTTTTTCTCTTATTTAATTTAAAAAAAAAAATTCTTGCTAGAAAAGTAAGCTTAATGCAACACTAGGGTTAATCATTTAAAACCAAACTGGGAAGGGTATAAGTAACATAAGCTTGTACCTAGAGAGCTGGTTAGAAGTACATATTACATATTGAAGCTGAATAAATGCTTCTGTGAAGTGTGGGTGAGTGAGTTAATAAGGCTAAAGCCTGGACGCAAGGGTAATGTAATGAATTATGGTCACAGAGTACAAAGGTTACAAGCTGATATTAACTTTTCGACTTCTGCAAATGACTCGCATGGCTAACGTATGGTGCTGGGGCAGAACCCGAAGGTTGAGCCTGTGGAATTTTGCCCTGAAAATGCCGCCTTCAAGGAGAAGAAGAGAACGAATGCTCCCACGACAGGCTTTTTCTATATTTTACCATCATGGGTTTGAATGCTCAGGTGGCCTGAGGATGGGGATAAAAAGGGAGCAGAGCGCAGTTGAGGCTGTCAGAAGTGCATGATAAATGCAACTTTTTTGTGTAGTTCTGCAAACTCCTGTGTGGTTACAACCCAGTGGGGGCCAACCTTTTTGGCAGGCGTGCCACATTATCTCCGTACCCCTGGCTTACAAGTGCTACTGTGGGTTTGTTTTTTTTTTTTGTTTCGTTTCCCCCCCGCCTTTCCCTGCCCAATCTGCTGCTCTGCTTTCTGCCTCCTTCCCTGTGATCCCCCCACAATTTGCTGCCTTGCTTTCTGCTTCCTATCCTGTCTGTTGCTCTGCTGCCTGTCTTCCTTCCCTATCTACCATGTGCCGCACCACTGATTAGCAACCCCAGTTGTAACCCATGTGTGTGGATGAGCCAAGAAAGGTGGTTGTGCAAAAGTGTGGGCAGATGCCCACTAAGCAAAGAATTAGCGTCTTGAATCTGTTGCTCTTCATGCAGAGAGCAAATCCATCCCCAACAGATGAATACGGTAGAGCCCAGTTAAGGCTTTCTGAGCTGGGGGCATGAAGCAGTCTGCAGAGCTAGTCAGAGGCTGACACACTGCTGCTCCTCTTCCCCGCGCATCTTTCTGGTGTTTTAAAGTAGAAGCTGGGCAAATCATCTTCTAGGTGAGGGCAACGGTGCTGGTGTTACGCCACATAGTTGCACCGCTCAGATCTCTCTTGTACAGAAAGAAAGCAAGGCCTGCGGACGCTGTGCAGCGCAGGGGTCTGCTGCGATGTCATAAATAAATGGAGCCGAATGAGTGTGACCCTGCGTTGGAACACCCTGTTGAATCCTGCTTACTTTTTCTCTTTCCCCCTGCCCCCCCCGCCGCCAGTACTCGCCCCAGGAGGTGATTGTCCATACCAATAAAACAGTGAGATGCTGCAGTAGCACTCTTGTGTGCTGTTATAATGGCAGGCTATAAAAAATGTATATTACATCAACAGTTAGGCCATGTATGAGCAGCTTGGTGCAGATTGTTACCCTAAGTGTCCTAAGCACCTTTCTGGTGACAGTCTGGCTTTGGAAATGTTTCGGAGAACAGGTTGGTTGGGTTCCTCCTCCTTGTTTCTTTCCCAAAACCATCAGAAATGTGGTTAAAACTCTAAATGAATCTTTTGCCTTGAGATCAAGGTGCTAATCCAATCAGAGATTCCTGGGGGGTTTTTGCTCAAGTCCTGAGATGTAAAACATAAAATTCTGCTTTTTTTTTTTTTTCCTGGCCCTCTTTGCTGCACAAACTTCTGCAGTGTTACTAGCAGCTTTTATTTGTGGCAGTGCAACACCTTTGAATTTGGAGCCCCAAAGTTAGTCAGCTCCTGCAGGGAGATGAGGAGAAATGCTTTTAGTATGGTGTGGAATTGCCATCATTTCCCTCTTGGCACAGAATATGCATTTTTTGGCTTGCAGGTATGCCTAGCAACAAGGCACAAGAGTCTCTTTGTAGAATGGGAAGACAAGATTGTTCCCTTGCCAGAGAGAACTGAAGTCACAGTAGTGACAGGTTTGTGCTGAAATGAAGTGAGATTGTAAACTGTGCTTTTAATTTCTTCAACTCCTAATAATCTGATGCTGGCAATGCTCAATGCAGATAAGGAGTTTTGGGTGGGTGGTTTTTGTTTTTTTTTAAAGAGGGGGGGGGAAAAGTAAATTGCCTTATTTTGACAGGGTTCCTTGTCCCATTATCTTGTGACAACATAAATGCTGCCATACATTAGGCCTCCTGATAATCTATGGTACAGGGTTCTTCTTGTATTAAAAGCATCCATTTAGTCTCCTTGATTTCAGCAGTTTGACACACTTCCTGATTTGTATGAAATGTGATGTCCCGTTATTGCTCTTGCATAAAGTTAGCAACACTTTTCTCACAGGGCTCTTGCAGTCTGGCAGGAACCTGGATCTAACTGGTGTGAGGTGCCTGGCACACCTGTGCATTTGTTCATAAATAGAAAGAATGATCACAATACAGCATCTAATGCCTCCATGCATTTATTTTTTTTAATTGAGGTGAGAAGATAAAAGCTAATCCTTCTACTTAACTCTCTTACCAGGTGTGATTTGTAATTCAATCAAGAACTAATACTCTGCTCCCACTAGAGAGTTAGTTTTCACCACAGTTATGTTGGTTTTCTTGCTTTCTCAGCAAAACCTGGAAGTGGAGGAGGGACTGTGTCCCAGGCAGATTGAAGTGTCTGCATCCACAAAATGCAGCGTTAGGGCAGCTTGTGAGGAGAGAGCTCAAACCAAGGACTAAAAGAAAGAATCTTCCTTCTGAAAGCATGTGGCATTTCTTTAGTCTCAACTTTCAGCTCTTCTAACAATTGTGACTGCAAGGCAGCTTTTAAAGGTAGGAGCAGAATGAGTGTCCATCAGGGTCAGTGAGCAGGGAGAAATGCAGTACTAATGTCTTGGATGCGATTCAGTGAAATACCGCTAAACCATCTTAAAAATGTGTTGTACCAGCAACGGGCATGCTTATACCAACATGTACATGCTCTCTTGCCAACCAAATGCAAGAGAGAAAGGATGGGGGATCAGAGACGCTTTGTAACTTGAAGAAATGAGTAACTTAATTCTCATGTCATTCTACTATGAGGTGATCAGGCCTCCTCATTGCTGCTAGGTTTAGGCTGGGTTATCGCCGAGGAACTGAGCACCCTTCATGAGAGAGGACACATTCAGAGCTTCCTTGATGCTTTTAACATCTTAATTTTTATTGAGTCTAAATTTCTTTCTTCAGTTGGCATTTCTTCCTGGGAAGTGCTGATAGCACAGCTAGTTTCACAGCTTCGTTCTCTTCCTGGTTTGACAAGGCTGTAGTGAAAATCGGGCATCTCGAGACTGGGTAGGCAAAAACTGTCCGTGCAAACCTCCTCTTGGCAGGGCGAAGACAGTACGCTGAGTCACCGCCAAGTAGGCAGCGCTTGCCCTCACGAGACTCCTTTGCAGGAGTCGTCATGTTGGGGTTGCCACAAAACAAACTGCTTTCGTTGAAACAACCACGTCCGGAGAAACTTCCACTTTTTTTGTACAATCCTCTTCCCTTTCCAAACATGGCTTGAACCATTGGCTGATCAGCTTGACGCTCTCGCTCTATTGATTTCAGGATTAGCTGCTCGTTCTTAAACAAGAGTGCAGGATTAACTAATGCAGGTAGGCATTAAGCTTGTTACCTCTTTGCATCCCTCCTTCTCCACCAGCCTGGCAGCTTTTAACAGTCGTAGCCTTTCTGGAGGAGAGGAAGGCAACATGGTGCTGCACTGCAGAAATTTATCACTGTGCAGCCTGGAGAAATAATAAGCAACGGCACAGGCCTGATTTTAAACTTTCAAAGGTAAATGGCTTTATATGCAGCATCTTTTTCTTTTATCCTGCTTCGCAGTTGAGTGAGCCTGGGGCAGAAGATCCTAGTCCTCGCTTGATACCAGTGTGTGCATGTCTCAGTTTACACTGGGATTGTTCTGGGTTGCAGCGAAAATTAGTCTCTACTGCCTCTCCCAGAAGAACAAAGGGGGTATGGTAGGGAAGTGCCTAGCATGCCTGCCTCTAAAACAGTCCAGCTCTCTTCCTTGGGGGACCCACACTTACTGGCTGGACTGCTGGAAGTGTAAAAAGAGGAAACAAGTCATGCTGAGCTACAAAAGAGTTGGGAATTTCTGAGCAAATGGGTGGCCTGAGTGGGTTTTTGCTTTATGGGTCTGTCTGGATGGAAAACCTCCCTATAAGCAGCTCCTTCAAAGGGCCTAATGAGATTTAGGCATGTATGGGTGAGTTGAGTGTTGGCTTTGGTTAGAGTAGGCTTTATGGGGCCAAGACCTTGCGGGGGTGGCTTCTGGTTAAGAGGCGAGTAGGCTGATGCTTCTAGTCTTAATCTGTCACTGGTGAAAGTTCGTCTACATCTATAATAGTCTGGTGCATGTGCAGCCTCTTTCAAGCTAAACTCTACCTTCCCCCTTTCAGTTTTGCAAGGTGCAGGGAGCCTATCCCAGCCTATATTGCCCACCCAGGGACTGGGCCTTACCTGACTCCCAGAGCCTGGGGCATGTGGAAAGGGGAGGCCGTTGCTGTCAGCAGTGTTGGCGGTAGCTCTAGGCCTAACATTTGAGTGAAGCTGCAGCCAGCTGCTCCCCACCCCACGTGCCAGGTCATCCGAAGAAAGCTCCGGCTACACCTGCTGTACAAGTATAACCAGGGGCACCTGTCCCCAGGCCTCTGGGGATATTGTGCCTTCCAAAAACACATTTTCTCAAGGCACTGCTGCTTGGACAGTGCATTTGTTCCTCCTTCCTGGTGTGGATTTTGGAGTACCAGAGCCTCTAATCTACTCCGCTCCTATGTTTGCCTGTCAGAGAACTTGACAGCATGCACTACAGACACACGCAGACAGACACTGAGCATTAGCATCCCTGCAGCCACTGCCGATGGCCCCGGAGGCCATTAAGGCAGCTGTGGTGTCGCCCCTCCCCCTTGGAGAAGGAGACATTTGCTGTGTCATCTTTTACCCTGCTTGACGGGCACCGTTGCTTTGATCTTAATCAAGGACCAGAATAGCCATCTTACATGGGTGCTTCACCAGGGTGAGGTGCATAACCCTCCCAGCACCCTTGAGGCAGGCAAGGAAGGTTTTTTTGGGGAGGGGGGTTGGCTTCTTTTTGGGTTTTGTCCCAATTTTACTGACTGCAGAAGCAAAATGCAGGAGGGTTGCATGACTTTGCCAGGGCTACGAAGGAATGGGGGTGGAGGGAGCTAGCCTGTGTGACTCTCGCCGCTGCGTCTGAGTCACGACGCGAGTCTCTGCATGAGTCATCACCGAGCGGCGTGTTCAAGGCGTTCAGACACAGGCTGCACTTCTGGACATGCTGCGGCTGAGCTGGGAGGGGAAGGCTCCCCAGCAGCCTCAGAGAGGTGAGGAACAAGACCTGCTGGCCAACAGGCAGGCCAGAATTCAGTGCTTGCAGCAACTGTTACAGCTTTGTAGAAAGTGATGCTTGTCTGCCTTGGAACAAAACACACATCTGTTTGTGAAAACGGAGACTTTTGTCCCGAGAGAGGGTGTGTCCGTGCACAGCCCGGTGCAGCTTTTGGTCTCTGCTTACTCTGAATTGGCACGTGAACCAAGTCCCTGGTCTCATGAAGTGGGGCAGGGGGGCTGTTCTAACTTGAGCTCTCAGGTGTGAGTCTCTAACCGTCTGGCTGAAAACTTAATGGACACCAAAATGTCTCTGTGGAAAGGTTCAGCTTTGGAACAACCCATTTTATTTGGCCTCAAGTGTTCTGATGGCATTGCTGGTCAGGATGCCCAGACTGCCACCTCCCTTCTTGGCCAGTACAGTGACATCCTCCCTCCAGTGCCTTCCCTAGTATCTGGTCCAGTCCCTGTATGAACAACCCCAGCCATGGAGGCTCTGCATGTCCCTCTAAGGAACTTTCACAGCTTTACACCTCTCCAGCCAGCCAGTGCCAATTTGCTCCCAGTGAATAGGAATGCAAAGCCGTTGACTGGCAGTCCTGCAGAAGCCAGTTCTACAGTAAGCGATTTACATTTTTAACATGGCACCTGAAATTGTCTCAAATCACAGGCTAAGGCTCCCTCCTTGCACAGCAAGAGCTCTGCAAAGTATTTTTCAAATGTATGACACACGCTGGGGTGTGGGTGGTGTTTGTTTCTGTGAAGTAGCTTGGATCTCATGTGACGTGCACATCCCTAGCTGAACAATAGAGCAAGGGGAGCTCTGCAAGATCCCATGTAATTTGTTGGCACATAGGTTACAACTGCCTTTGGGCTGCAAAGTACCACACACCCATCTCTATTAATTAAGAGGGCCTTGAAATTTGACCCAGATCCTCCTGTTCTGCATTACGCCACTCATCTTCCTCACTCTGGCATTGGAAGATGTGCATATCCCTCAGGCAAGTGAAAGGATGTTACTCTCTGGAGGTGGGGGGAAGGAGATAAGAAGTGGCACACCTACATCTATCACGTATGGACTGAGCACACGGATAAGAATCAAGTGGTTCTAGCTCTTTTAACTGTGTTTGTTTGTGTCTGGATCAGAGGCCCCCAGGTGATGTTAGAGCTGGTTACCTTCACTTGCTTGTTCAGTAAGTGCTGTTAATTCAGCCCCTTGCTAAATCTCTCTCTCTCCTTCTCCCTTTGTGACCAGAGCACCCGAGTGGCATGACGTTAATGAATGGGGATGGCTTGCATGAGAGCCTCAAGGAAGACGAGGTCAAGCAGAATGGCCATGAGGAAGCTGATCCAGGGGATGATGGAAACGACCAGGAGGTCATCGTCATCCAGGACACCGGCTTCACTGTCAAGATCTGTGCTCCAGGAATAGAGCCCTTCTCCCTGCAGGTGGGTCCCTCCAAGGGAGGCAGCAATGGCAGCTGCTCAGCTGAGAGGCAGCTGAAGAGGAGGGGAAATGAGGTGTTCAGGAGAGCAGCACAGGCTTGAAAAGGTGCCTGGGCACTGACTGGCTAGGTTGCATATGAATTATTTATGCAACAACATTTGCCAAGTGCTGTTGTATGCGTTGCCTGACTTTATCCCCTCTGCGCTTCCACGTGAGCGGGGAGGCAGGTATCAAGTCATCTGCTGGAGGCAGGTGGAGAGAAGCTGTGTGGAGGTGATGTGCTGTAGAGTAAGAGTTAATCTCTGAGGGAGCTAGATATGCATCCCCCTGCCCCTTCCCCCTCAGCTCTGAGGAGAGAGCGCATGGATGCCCAGACCCTTTCCCTTCAGACAGGACCAGGGAGAGCAGGGGGGAAGAAAAGGGGAGCAAAGCAGAGAGCAGTGGCGGTCCTGCAGCCACCAGCATGGTGTCAAGATGAAAAAGAGGCCTTGGAGGTGGAGGCTGCTGGGGATTGACAAGGGCCAGCTGGGGAGGCTTCTGGAGACCAGTGTGAATGCACGCTCCTGAAATTAAGTGGAGCAGGAGAGATGTGGCTTCATGCCTCTCTGTCTTTCCCTCCAACACGAGGGTGTCATTTGTCAGCCTGCCTAACTTCCACGCTTCTGGCTGGCACAGGGTGCTGTGGGCGGCAGCGTCCCTTCTGGTGGGGCAGCTCCACAAGGCACAAACCTCACTGTTGGCTTCTACTCTGCCTCTTCATGTGCTGCCCTGCTGGCTCTTTTTTCTCCTCCCTAGCTGACCATACAACGTGATCCAAGGACTAAAGAGTATTTGGGATCCAGTGATCCCAAGCTGGCTGAGTCTAAGCAAGATCATGAAAGGCAGGGTGGGTCACCCTGAGCATCTAAACTTTGGAACGGCCAGTAGCTGGCACGATGGGAAGAAGGTTTGTCTTATACTGCAGCTCACCGGCCTCCCCCTCCACAGACAGGAATGGGGCTGATTAGCTTGGCTGGGGAGTGGAGGTTCTCAGATTTGCTCCATCTAAGCATTAGTGAGACATGGGAGTGACTGTTTAGAGGTAATGATCTGCCCCTCTGCTCACCCCTGAGCAAAGCCCCAGCATTTTTGGGAGGATGCGAGGCTGTATGGTAAGACATGCTCTGGCAGACACGAAAGGGAGTTCCTACACCTGGTTTGGAGGAGCAAGGAGGGCCCTGAGGACTGCAGTAGCAGACAAGCACTTATACCAGCATGTCAGGATGGGCTTTGACATGCTTGGCTGATGTTCCATTTTGGCATGATGCTTCACTGGAAATGGATGAGAGAAAGATTTCTTTGGTAGTGGCTAAGTCTAAATGAAATGGGAACCTTTTAAATGCCCATGACCAGCAGAAAGTTGGGGGGGAGAATAATATCCCTGGAGGAGCCAGACAGTTCTGATCGGGGCAGCTTTTTCCTTTAAAACCCCTTTTGGTTGTTAGTTTTAATAAGCTAATAATAGCAGGCCTTGTTCACAGCTGCTTATGTTTCATAGTTTCTAGGGTCGGAAGGGACCTGAGCAGATCATCTAGTCCGACCCCCTGCCATGGCAGGAAGAGCACTGGGGTCAAACGACCCCAGTAAGGTGGTCATCCAACCTCCTCTTAAAAACCCCCAGGGTGGGAGCCTGCACCACCTCACTTGGAAGCTGGTTCCAGACCCTAGCCGCCCTGACCGTGAAGTAGCGCCTCCTGATGTCCAGCTTAAACCTTCCCTCCGCCAGCTTGTGACCGTTGTTCCTGGTCACTCCTTGCGGCGCTCGGGGGTGACCAGGAACAACAGTAAACCATCCAGAGTTTGAATAGCTTGAGCATGGTATAAAATGGTGCTGGAAACACAGCAGAGAAGTAAAAGAAGCCTCTGTGTGCAAGCCTTTGCACTTTCTTTAGTGGTTGAAGTGATGGGATCGGAGGTTGGGTCCTCCCCTTCAAGTAATGGTGTGGCGATACACGGTGTATCACTCCACTGCATGCACCAAAGCACATTGGAAGAGAACAACAGGCTCTGTAGCCCCAGATGCTGCCTGTTGATGGACTCTTCCTTTGTCTATACCCTTCCTATCCCTCATCTACCTTCTGGTCCATCAGTGTCCCTATGCAGTACCCTCTCACCCAGGCTCATGCAGAAGGGAATCAGATGGGGCCACTTTAGCTGATACTGTAAGGGCTGAGAAGTGGGAATTGCATGTGTGCACAAGTGCCTTAGTACTGTTGTCCTCCAGCAGATGAGCAGATGAGCTAAACCCTTCTTCATAAATGCCTAAGGGTGTAGGAGGCCACAAGTGGCCTATGGGGGTTCTGATTCTGCATCAAAAGGACAGGCCTGGAGGATCCCATGTGTGGAATTGGGGGCCTCATCCAGTCTACAGATCTGGGCTCCTTGCAGCTGGCACACAAGGACTGCCCTTGATCTAAGAATCTGGTAACTCGGTGGCATAGTGCCATGGTGACTGGGGAGGACAGAAGCCAGTCTGACACCCCACGCCTCTGCTCGATCAGGAAGGTGGCAGAGCTGGGGGGTAACAGGGTTATTTTTTCCTTAAGGTTTCTCCACAAGAGATGGTGCAGGAGATCCACCAAGTGCTGATGGACAGAGAGGACACCTGCCACCGAACCTGCTTCTCCCTGCAGCTGGACGGCAACGTCCTGGATAACTTCGCTGAGCTGAAAACCATTGAAGGGCTGCAGGAGGGGTCGGTGCTGAAAGTGGTTGAAGGCAAGTTTTAGAAACTGGGGCAACCCTGACAGGAGGACCTGTCTGCATTGGGTTCTTGTAGACCGGGTGCCTACGAGGATGAGCTGCTGGATAGGCCCCACTGGACAAAGGTCCTCTCACCCTGCTACTCCACTTTCTATCCTTAACCCCAAGCTGTAAAGACCCTGCCTGGAGCTTAAAACACAGTTGAATGAGTCTTTATGGCCTGTCCTGCCCTTCAGTCTTCTCCCGAGACAGGCCTTGAGGGTGGAAGTGGTTCCTCGAAGTGATGTTTGTCCATTGATGGGACCTGGATTAAGAGGACCATGCTCAGTTTGAGCAGGCTTCTAAGCAGCCATTCGCATGTGGTTAAATTCCTATTATAGGAGTGGGTGTGGAAAGCTAGGTCACCTTTAAAGCACCAAATGGCAGGTGGCACCCAAGAAACCGGACCCTGATTTTAAAAAAAAAAAAAAAAAAAAGCAAAGGGACACAGGGCAGGTAGTGCACAGTAGGAGTACGTTCTCTGTGTCCAGTGACCTTTCTTACCCCTGGCAAATGTACCAAGAATTCATAGTAAAATGCCACTTCGTGGCTGCGCTCCCTGCTGCTACAGCCTCACATGGCAGGAGGGCAGATACAGACTTAATACTTTTATAGAGACACTGGTAAGGGACACTGCTGTTGGTAGCCTCATGTGCTGCCTGGAAAGTTTGCTTACCTGGAAGATTCCCGAATCCTTGTCTCGGCACAGACGCGTGCAGGTTGTGTCCAGTAGCATGCAGGATACTGGTCATCTTTTACGCAGACAGAAATCCTGTTTGTTGCCGCGTTAGCCGAGATGAGTGATGTAAAACTGCCAGCTGCTGTCACAGCTTGTAATGAATCCCTAATAAAGAGAAGCACAGATCTGGGACAGTAATGGATATAAAACAAAG